CCTCTCTCTCTCTCTCTCTCTCTCTCTCTCTCTCTCTCTCTCTCTCTCTCTCTCTCTCTTTTCCAAAGAGATTTCAGACACTACGGTTATAGTTTCGACTAGAAAAACAGTAGATAAATCATTATTTCAAACTACTCATTAAAAACTGAGCTTCTTAAAGAAACCAATGGCTGTCATGGAAACGAACGACAAAATTAAGTAAATAATTGCATCTGAGATTGTTTTCTTTCTTTTTCGTCTTTTTGCTCTTCAAAATTGGCCATAACGAAGCTAGAGATTGTAAAAAAGAAAATGATATTAAAAAATTAATGAATTCGGTCCTCTGCTGCCCTCACATATAGGGCGCTGTATCCTTGGGCTATAGACCTTATATTGCCCGATGAGGATAATTTGATTCCTCCCTGGTGATGTGGTAAACCCTGGTTCGAATCCTCAGATTGTTTGGGCTGTTCTCTTGACTGTCGTCCCCCTTGGTTCTGTCCTATTTGACACAGACTTTGAATTGCGGGTTTCCCATTTATATATTACATTGTAATGTAGAATCCATATTCTACCCTCCAGTAACATGGTGATCGGGCCATATCTATCAAAGCCTTTGGGCATGTAGCTGAATGATATTATGCTCTGAAAACCGGGTCTCTTTCGAACCAAACTTGAATACACGATTTTAAAAGAGAAAAGAAAAAAATCCGCGATTAAATTTTTTGTGTGCAATGTTAAAAGGGCGATACATCATTATGACCCAAACACATACATTGGGTCGACACAAAGAGAGAATTCAAAACATTCCCGATAAACGAAACTGGCGGAACGTGAAAAAGAAGAGCTTGAGATAAAAATTAAAAAACCAACCTTTTTTTCATCGGTTTCATTCAAGGAACCAAAAAAGGGGTTTTTAGTGCTGGAACCAGACCAGAAATACTGGGGAGCTACGAAACCTTCTTTAAACCCTCTAGCGTGTAACCCGGGAGAAACCGGGACTAAAAATAGAACCGCTACGCGTTTAACCAGGGAGAAACCGGGCGAGATCTGACCCCGCGCTGCACGGCCGACCCGGGAGAAACCGGGACGACACACCCCGTACATTCAATTTAACTTCTAACCACAAAGAATGACTTCCCGTGTCTTTAAGAGAGTAAATTAAACCTGAAAAGCTGAAAAGCCACCTCACTATACGTATGTGGTGGAGCAGTTAGTCTCTTTGCTGTCGCACGCGACGACCAGAGTTTGATTTCTGTACGGGGAGAATTTTCATCGAATATCTCGGTTTTTTCCGGTGGGACGTTGATGTTGTGACCCTCTCAGCTTGGGTTGACACTAACTGGCAAGGTCGAAGTCCGCCTCGTGCACGATTTAAATTGTGTAAATAGGGGCGTAAAACACCAACATTTTAATACTTCGCTTCGACTTTCGTTCTGTGCTTTTTACTCTCTCCCAAAGATTCTCACTTCCAAGATTTATTTATAACGTCTTTGTCTTACTTTCATAGACAAAATCAACCTCTATTAAATAAAGGTTTTGATAAAGAATTCCCCAACTGGAAACGCCTTGTTCTGTAGCTTTTTCATTTACTCATCAACTTCTTATGAAAGTGCTCGGTTTTCAGAACACTGCCAACCAATTCATTGTATTTTCGGAGTCAAAAATCGTATCTTCTGTTTGACTTTTATTTGTTTTGATTCATATTTGTGTAAACTCTGATAAATGTTACTCGTGTCACTGATTGTTAAAATAAAATTCTTTTCGAATAATATGCTCATAACATTAATGTTCTATTTCAAATACAAAGAGATTCATACAGATGCACATACATGAATATTATGCATTGTTATGTACACATACACCCCCACTCACTTGTGAATAACTCCCCCCACCCTTTCTCCCTCTCTCTCTCTCTCTCTCTCTCTCTCTCTCTCTCTCTCTCTATCTATCTATCTTAGGTTTTAGTGAGAGTTTTGCGACACTTTTAACATACTTCTGTCATATAAATGCCGGACCGGACATTTGAGGTTTACTCGGTTTGGAAACGG